ACGCAAGAAGCTCAGAGTTCACCCAGAGTGAGAGTAATGCTGGGTTTAGACTAGGCAAGTCAAATGATCAACTCAGTTGAATTCAATTGGCTTGAAAAGTTGAGCCTGGTTCAACTTTTTTCAATTCAAGTGAGTTGATCAAGTCAGTTGAATGGTATGGTTTACACGTTCAATGCGCGTTCAAGTCAGTTGAATTCAACTGACTTGATCAATTGACTTGCCCTATCTAAACCCAGCTTAAAAGAGCGTGTGATAGAAAACATGAACATGAATGGCAACAAGCCTCACTCTCATTTTATAGCCCTTCGCTCACAAGCTCTGAAGCTCAGTGGAATGATTTGGCAGTAGGCATTTTACTCCTCAGAAAAATGCTACGCTCGGCTCATTTCAAAGTCGCGAGTGAGGCTCCATCAAGCCTGGTAAAAAAAAAGGAAGACCAGCGTGATATAAATAAACTACGTAGACATTTTAGGGGAGGGGGGGGGGCGACAGGTGTCTTTGGTCCTTACAAAACTTCCAAAAATTTGTATGGACGATTGTCTACCCGGGGATCCTAAAACATCTCAAAATCGATCTACGTAGTTTATAAACACCCCCTAAGTTACATACACGTTATTGGAAGGGCACTAGGCCGAATTGATAGATTGAGCTTGGAAATTATTTTAGAAAACAATGAGATATACAAACATACTCGGACAGACATTTTGTTTTACAAAATAATCAAGATTATGAGGCTGGGCCAGTTTTTAACATTCGTGAACTTTGCGAGATTTTATACTTTGAATATTGCATATTTTTAAGATCTCAGATTAAAACAAAATCATGGCACATGAACTTGGATACATTTTTTTTTTCTTTGGTTTGTTTTCCGTCGATCTTGTTTCCTGTGCTGAGCACCAATGCTACCAGAGGCAGGGAGGCAGCTCCCACACCTGGACCCTACCTATCGACCCATCAACTCATGAACCGGGGACCAAAGGCTTTACTTCTCTTCCGATCAGGGATTTTATGCCTCAGAACATCCCGGCGGCGCCAACTGGGATTGAACCCATGCCTGCTGGGGTGAGAGGTAACCACGCTTACCACTACACCACCGGCACTGCTAACTTTTATACAATGTTAGGATACTGACACTATGAATGAGAATTGTGTTTTAAATTACAAATGAGGTTTGAGGATCTAGGGATAGTACTGAAGGAATTCTGGGGAGAATTCCAATGAAATTTAACTAGGTTAATATATCTCATGAAAATTGTAACGGGAAGTAAAGGCGAACTTTAGGGTAGTTCTGAAGAGACTATTCTGGGGAATATGATTATAATTCCAGGAATCTAAAAAGCAAATCGAAAAGAATTTCAAGGCGCATTATAAGGGAATTCGGAGCCTCTTTCCAACCATACGGCAAACTTGATTACAACCCAGAAACTACGCCAAATGATCACCTACGACTGTCTCTTAAATGTTGATCAATAAATCAATCAAACTGAAATGTTGAGGAGAGCTCCAAGGAAATATGGATATTAATTTCATGGTAATCTTATTCTTAAAATAGCTAAAAAAATCTCCGCAGAGTTTAATGCTAGTTTAGAGAATTCCTAGAATATTTTATAAGATTTTGAGGTGATTTCCAGTAGTTTCCGGGAGCATTAAGATTGTAATTTTCAGCATATTTTCAAAGAAACAATGAGTAGTGCTGCAAGAGAATCTGATGAAATTTACACACTAAGGAGAATGATATGAAATTCCAAGATAATTCCAAGGTATTCTCTTTAGCACATTTTGAGAAGACTCAGCATTCTGAAATTCAAGGAAATGTTTAAAAGAGCAGATTTCCTAATTCCAAATTGCATATCCTTGAAATTTCCGAAGAATATTTCAAGCGAATTTTAAAGAAAACTGTGGATAGAAATTAAGCAAATTATTGCGAGAATTAATAACAATGCGAAGATAAATTAAGCAAAGAGTTTTCTGGAAGGAATTCCTAAAAAGTTTTCTGCGCAGAATTCCGAGACTGTTTTGTTTTTAGGGAAAACCGGATAGAATCAAATGGCTGTTGAGGGAAATTCATAAAGTAAAAGTAGTTCTGAAGACTTTTGGAATGATGCCAAGCATATCCTTATAAAAAAATGGAAAAATATCCACAGATGAGTTCCTAAGAAACAAATTTGTAAATTCAACAATCAAAATATTTATGTGCACAGAAATTTCGTTGACAAACATTTTTAAGATTCTTAAACTTTGATTGAATATAAATTTCAAGATCCATGCCTTATTTCATCCGTCTATCTTGCTTTCCGTACTGATTACCAATGCAACTGACGCCAAGGAGGCAGCTCCCACACCTGGACCCTACCTAACGACCCATCAACTCATGGATGGGGGACCAACGGTTTTACTTCCCATGGTCAAGAATGTTATGCCTCAGAAAATCCCGGCGGCGTCGATTGGGATTGAACCCAATCTTTTGAACCTTTTGGAGTGAGAGGCAGTCACGCTTATCACTACACCTCTATGGTAACCGCTAAGATTCTGGCATTAAAAAAAGATTATGGAACCTCACCGCTAATAGTAAGGTATGTGAGAAAAATCCTCTATGCATTCAATATCCCAGAAATGGTGAAATTTTCTTAAATGTGTAACATGAAAAGGTTTTAAAATTATCAAAAATATTCAAAATGCCTGACTCTGAGACATTACTAGTTTTTATCTCCGACTTAAGTTTTGACATCCGGTACTACGGGTTTGAAGAAATATTCAAGATTTTAAGAGAAATATTCAAGATATCGAACTTAGAATGTTTATTGACAGAATTAAGGGTACCCTAAGTGGGGGTGACAATGGGCCATACAATCAAAAAATTTCGTGCACTACCTTACAACATTCACATTTTAGCATTACATTTCATTCAAGTAAAATAAAAAAAAATAGAACTATGTAAAATCTTATGTGGGGTGACATTGGGCCTAAACATAAATTTAATTAAAATATCTTTCAATATGTAAGTTTCAAGAAAATTGTTAACAGAACTAAAGGTTGATTATTAAGTAGTTCTGAGGAAAATGGTAAGGAATATTCTAAGAAAATCTAAGGTCATTTTTGGCGTTTTTGAAATGATTTGACATTTTAAGAGGATTATGAAAGCTGTCGCATCGTTTTCACGATAATAGTATGAGTTTAAAGGGTGGTTCAAAGATTTTTAGGTGATTTTGGGGAGCTAAAAGAAAAGCTGATACGTCCCTTGGAAAAAGTAATCGAAATTTGTTCTACAATGCTTGGTTTCTGAGATACGAATTTTCAAAGTTCGTGATGTCCGGGAAAATCCAAAAACTTCAACTTAAGTTTTCCGGGAAAATTTACCAACCAATTTTTTACATTTTTGTTTCATTCGTAAACTCTACCTGTGGGCGAAATGTCATAGCATTCTGAGAACCTTTGGACCATATTGTTCGATAATAATAAAAAAAAAATCCCCAACGGCATTCAAAGATTTCACAAGTTGCACATTTTACGCCTATTTTGGAGGGATAATTTTGAAAATTAACATGCAATGTGATAGAATGGATTGGATAAAATATCGTCAAATATTATTGTATGACCAAAAACTGGGTGGGACTGACTTGCTATTACATGTTACGTCAATGAGAAACATATGCTGAAGTCAGTCACAACGCCATGATAATGCTGTTTAGTTAAGCAAAGTATTGAACAGTAGAAAGATTCTATGGCCCCGTAAAACGTTATTCAATGTTTTTGGATCCGTTTCGCTGATTCCGGCGGAAACATGTTCCGGCGAGTACGGGTCTTGAGACCAGAAATTTATAAAAACGTGCCAAACCCACCGTGTGACAAATCAAATCAATTCGATAATAAGATCAATAGGAGTCATGATGAGTAACCAGCATTGGCGGCCATATTGAGACCCGTAAGAACCACATTGGCCATACTTCGGACATGTTCCGAGTACTCTAAAGAAAATTGATAAAATATGTCCTGAATCAATTCTCATGGTGCGTCAAACATTCTTAATTCTTTGGAAACATAGCTAAGACGTTGTTTTTTAGTGTATTTAATGAAATATTTTTTTCCTAATGGGACTGACTTGCGGTTACTTTTCGGTGTGGATTAATTTTACTTGGTATTGTTTTTCATTTTTCGTGAAAAACCCAATTTTTTTTAATAGCACAGCTCAAAAACATAAAAAGGTAAACTGAATAATGATGCTCACTCAAAATTGATAAAAACGCAGATGGGGCTGACTTGCAGTTACCGGAAGTATAACTTTGCACAAACATTATTCTTTTGTTGATAGCTTTTTACTTAGGTTAAGAACGTTGAGATCGAAGATGATTTTTTTTCATTTCAATTTTCAGTTTACCAATGAGTTTATTTTTTATTGGAAGCCCAAGATGAGAAGGAACCATTTCTCACTTAGTTTGTATGACGCAAAAAGGAGCACAGCTTTTCACCTAAATGCAAATATGCTGTTTTTTACGTTGCTATAACAGCCTCAATGAAAAACCATGTTTCGTCAACTGAATGCAAAGCAATTAATAAATGAGCAAATTGTGTGCAAAACAGTGCTCGCCAAGCAATAAGCCGATACATTTGAGGTTTCAGACTGCTCAGCAAATCGATATCTCGGTATTTTCATCGACTATTTTCATTTGTCAATGAAACTTTGCTTAACCGAACCGAATTTCGAAGCTCCAGCAATAGTGTACACATTTAGTATGTGTACACACAACCAATTTCTCTATTGGCCGTCTTCTCGTACTTCGTCGCAGAAACCGCTCTACGGTTGATCTCCGTGGTCAGTGGCGAAGCACAAACGAAACGAAAAACAATGGTACATTTCAACATGACCGAGAGTCCAGCAGCATACATCCAACCGTCCGCAGCATATATGCGTGATATTCAGAGCACATACTAACTAACAGCAAACTCCATTTATGGCGAGACGAGCATAAAACAAAACTTCTCCAACTTGGATATTTACATACATTTCCCTTTCCTGCGTGGGAGGGAGGCGGGAGGCAGACAGGCGTTGTAATATGCTACTAGCTCGCTTCTTCGGATGGTGGTTTCACTATTCCATGTCAGGATAGAAATTCACTATCAACTATCACTTTGTGCTATCAGCTCGTATTTCTTCTCGTTTCTCTTCAGTGGCCGAAGCTACTACGGCAAACAGCTCATAAAACGTGGTGGAAACGGCTTATTGTTTTCAAACTTGGCAGCACTCGAGAACAATGAATTTCACTGATGTTTTCAGACCTCTCTATCTATCCATCTATCGGAGCAGCCGGCGAAGATCCGCTAGGTCCACCAAACACTGTACACAGGCATAAATCTTTCCCACAATTATCACACGTTGGCGAGTTAGCGAGCCAACCCGTACGGTATAGCTCTCTCTCCAATCGATACCGGATCCCTCCTCATCAGCTATGCATCACTACCTCGATCTTCGGGCTTCGATGGGAGGCACAGAATTCTTCCACAATCCACTATTCACTGTCGAAATCACACAATCAAGCACGGAACCTCGTCTTCGGAATCCCACCGGATAAAGGTGAATCTCACCACTCCCGAAAACCTAAATACCGTTCAAGCAACAAATGTCAACGCAAATCGATAAAAAAACACCCACAAATAAGTAATCGATTCGCGCATACCCTATGGAAGAACCAAAACTACTGCGGTTTTATTGGAAGAAGCGTTCGATCGCGCGTACGCTCGCTCTTTCGCATAACCACTCAGCGTTCCCGTCCCGCTGAACGTCCGACTCGAAACTGAACTCGACGGGCACCACAAAACGAATACAAATTTTTTCATTAATTTTACAAAATACACTTTATAATTGGTTATCTCTTTCCAGCGAAGCAGTCGATCGCCGTTTTTTTTTTTTTTGACTGCACGTATACTAAGGGGGAATAGTTGATTCGCGTTCGTGCTCACTCGCACCCACATGCATACTGTGAGTTGCGTGTTGTGAACTCTGTCTCACTCGGTGGTTCCAACCAAGGTGTATCAGCGCTGCGCAGTACCTCTACAATACCTGACAGCCAGCGGGCCGGAGAGAACGAAGGCCCCGTTGGTTTTTCGTCATCATCATCATCATCATCGTATCGACTCGCGCGCGCACACTTTCAGCTATATAGCTGCTACTATACCGTGCCCACAACATGGTGGGGGTGGTCAGGTTTTCGTTGCTGAGATTGTACGAAAATCTCCTGCGCAAGAAGATGGTTCGAAAAATCTTTTTTGGTTTTTGAGCAGGGTTAATTCCATTCAATTAGCATATACAAACATTGTATGGGATTATGGAATCATACGATATTATGATAATATGTTGAATTTGTAAGTAACAAGAAGAGGTAGGTTGCGAAGTTTGTTGCACACATAAACCTGTCAATTACACTTTGTGAAAGTCGCAATAAGCGAGTTTATCATTATCTCTCACCTTATTCTAACTTACAAATACATATTATTCTAACATCTAATGAACGATATTTTTTTGCAAGTAACCCTGGTTTTGAGTAACCAATTCAAAGTAGGTAATTATACGATGTGATGGAATATGCGATGTTAATGCATTATGTATAGTAATAACAATCTCGCAATTTCAGTTGACAAAAGTATTTACCCTTGTTAAATCCTGAAAGGTTTTCCTGGATATTGAAGAATTACATACCTGAAAATAAAAATAAAAACAATTAAATAGAGAATAATTGAAAACAAAAATGTCTAAAGTAATACGGAAATTTTGTTCAAAAAACTACGAATACAGGATTGTTACGAAATCGTTGAATAATAAAAAAAAACCCGCGCGAACGACCGATTGTTTTATTCAAAACGGTTAACATGCTACATTCTGAAGAATTTATTTAATTATGGTATGTTTGCCAGTTATGGCATTAGTGCTCCAGTTTTTGGCCCTGAGGCCTAACTCAAATTTGAAATGCATTTGGTTTTATATGCGTAGCCTAGGGGAAGTGAGTCTAATGATTGGGCACATCGATAAGAATTTCCTTATCTTATTTTTTTTTTACAAAAAAGGCGTCATCTGGACAATGCAAATAGATATGCTTGTGTTTTTTTTTGACTCTTTATTTGTTCCAAATTCAAAATAAATTACATTTCATTTTAACCTAGGTGCTCCAGCTACTACAGTAACTAACCAGCCTTAATTGTTATGATATATATCTAAGTGTTTTCACATAGTTGCTGCCTTTGCAAATCAGTATTTTAAACAGGTTTTTAAACCTGCATGTCAGTATAACAATTTACATCTTAAAACTAAAAGCTAACACTAAATCTTATCCAAGTATAACGGGAATTAATCATTGCAATTGAGGATTGCAACGATGTTAGCGTTAGCGTTAGCGTTGTTATGATATACTTCGTAGATTGGATACTAGCGACACTCACGTCTCTTCTGAAATTCTCAGTTAGACTACTTTCAGGAATAATGCTGAGGAGTAAACATTGGTTCCAATCTAAACAAGAGTAACAGAAGCATGACTGTCGCTATTCCCGGCCACGCCCATCTTTACCATAACTAGGGATAGGGAAGGAAATGTTGATGTAGTACTTACTTAACGAGAGGCCACCGACTTAGCGACACCCTCATAAGTGCTACGGAGTTGGAGGGTTGGGAAGGGTATTCGGTTAGGATTCACCTCAAGTTGGCGATGCAACCAAAAGTATGTATTGTTTATTTGTTGTTTATTTAATCTCTCGATAGCCTGGATTGAGGATTGCAACGATGTTTACCTGAAATTACTATTATTTGGTTGGACATTTGTTCTAAAGTCTCAACATTCGAAATTCTATGTACCTCGGTAGTACTGTACCAGGGAGGCAACTTTAAAAGCATTTTCAGAACTTGGTTCTGAATCCTTTGAAGTGCTTTTTTTTCCTGGTAGTGCAACAACTAGACCTTAGTGGCACAGCATAAAGCATGGCCGGTCTAAAAACTTGTTTAAATATTAGAAGTTTATTCGTGAAACAAAGTTTGTATTTCCTGTTTATAAGAGGATACAAACATTTTATATATTTGTTACATTTGGTTTGAATGTCCTTACTGTGATCTTTAAAAGTTAATTTTTGGTCCAGTACTAATCCAAGATATTTCACTTGGTTTGACCAGGAAATTCGAACTCCGTTCACATGTGACAACTACTAGCTTTCAAAAAGGAAATATGTGGAAATATTATAAGTTGAGTTTTGGAAGCGTTAGGAGAAATCTTCCATTTTTGTAAATAAGAAGAGAAAATATCTAAGCTTTTCTGCAGTCTGCTGCAAATAACACGAAGACTTCTTCCTTTAGCGGAAATGCCTGTGTCATCAGCGAACAAAGATTTGTGGCAACCCTGAGGCAAATCAGCGAGGTACGAAGTGAAAATGTTATACAATATAGGCCCAAGAATGCTCCCCCGAGGAACTCCTGCTCTCCCAAGTAGCATTTCTTGTTTTATTGCACTCTATTAGTGGTTATTGAGATCAATTTCATAAAACCGCCAATAAAATTAATAGCTCCAGCACAACCTTTTGATAACCGCTATAAGATCGTCATACAGCTTAGTGGACCACCCTTGATAAGGTTTATAAAGCATGTTTGAGAATTACAATAAAGCTGTCTTAAAACCTTTTGTCAGGAAGCCTCATACTCTATAAAAGGTTCTCATAGCCTCTATAAGAGTAATATGGTATCCAAGCAGTTTTATGACGCTTTGGTGAAAATCAGTTATAAAGCCAATTTAATTTTTATTGCATCAAAGCAACCGCCATAAATTAGCTTGTTGTTGTTCTGTTCTGCTGAAACTTTTTTTTTTCCAAATGGAAATCTTTAGCGGTAAAAATAGGTTTGAGTGTTGGTGTCAAGATCACCATGCAATCAATTTTGTTTCATGGCGACATTAGTGAAAATCTTAAAGAAAATATATTACTTTTTAGAAGTTCCAAAACATATGCGCTTGAAATGTCATCGTGTATATTGAGATAATATGAGCGTTAAATAAATGCGCCTCCAAAATAATTCAAGTTAACAAATAAGATTGTTTCAGAAATCAAATGAATTTGATGGAATCACCTTAATTTTACAGAAAATAGATCTCAATACACAAATTCATACCAATGCACACTGGAAATCATTTCGGATCTCTTATCTAGCCATTATTTTATTGAAATTTCTTGGATTTTATTCCAAGGCTAATGGCATTTTCATAATGACAATATGGCGACAGAGGACAGCAGGCAAGAAAAACATCAAGCGCAAATTCTTAAAATGTCTAATGCTTACATTGCACACTGGGTCAGGAATGCAACCTAGCGGAGCAAAATTAATAACTCCGAAACGGAGCATTTCCGCGACTTGGTGTCTACGGCAAAATTTCTCGTCATAATAAGGACCATCTATTGACATAAACAAATAGTTCAAAACTCTTCCGCAAAGATAGTGCCACAATCTTACTTCTTTCTCTGTCGTTTTGGAGACTTTATGTCTTAGGCAAAGTTGTTTATCTTGACAAAATGAACAGCTCTTTCAAAGACGTTAAATTTCCACTGTCTACTGGTTCCAAGTTATATGGAGTTAAAGAAAAAATGTCGAAAATATGGTTTTTTCTGTTTCGGTTTTTTTGCTTACAGCTTTATAATGTTATATTTTTCTCTTATGCAAATACATTAAATAAATAGGTCTTGTGAAGAAACATACTGGATTAAGCTTCAAATTTCAAAGATATTGTTGAAAAAACGAGAAAAAAAATACAATTTTTGAACATTAATATCTCCCAAAGCGCAAAAAATCGCAACCTGACATTTTCAGCAAAAATTAAGCAATACTCGATTAACAAAATATCAAAATTTGAGAGAGGTATATTTTGGTGATTTTTTTTTAGATTTCTTCATTTTAGTGGAACATGATTTTTTTCTATAACTTTTTTTAATGCATTGAATTTGTGTTTCGAAGACTTCAAGACTTTTTCAAAGTTGGTTATCTTGATAAAATAAACAACTTTTCTTAATACGTTAAAACTTCACAGCCTACAGCCGTTAATAACTTATTCACAGAACCGTTTCTTGATGTCGTATTGGATGCTAGATAAAAGCTTCTTTTATCGATTTATGTGCTGAAAATACCTGGGAATGTCTTTACATGACCGTGAGGATGCAAAGAGAAAGTTGACGAAGCGAATCTGTCAATATTACTTAGGACCTAATGCAATGTTCAGCTTGAATTCATTTTTTTTTATTGGAGGGCAAATGTATATTCCTATTCTACGGGTGCAACCGATGAATTTTACAAACATTTAGAAAAGTTTTGAATGGTACATTAACCTTTATGAAAAGTTATGCTTGATTTCAACCTTTTTGCCCTAGGACTGTTACCATTCCATGTATTTCGACCAAGACCGTGTCACCCCATGTATATGCGAGCGAGAACGGAAGAATCATGGAGATTGCTGACGTTTTTCTTACGCACACTACGTCGCGTATACGTATACACGAAATGTTTTCATGCTAACAATTTTGTTGATTTTCTTTGCGCTCCGCTTGGAAGTACCGGAAAGTTGTGATTCTTTTCTATGTTGTAAAAATAAACCACCTATTTACATTTCTGACAAGTTGCAACTGAATGCTTATAATTGTTTTAAAATAACTGTTTCATGGCCAACTAGTTTTATTGCGCTTACTTATAAAGCAACGAAAGGATATATTTTTTGGTTTTATAAGGGCAATTCATATTACTTTTTTTTATACTTCAAAGCAAGCATAAAACCTTTCATAAGTGAAAATAGCATAAGCATCAGTTGGTTTTTTAATTAGCTTTATAGAGGTTTTGTAGATAGCTATAAGAATGTTTCATGACTTGCATTGTATATGACCGTGATAAAGCTGTAGGTAATGGTTGCAGCTGCAATAAAACCTTTATAAATTTTGAATATAGCCAAGCAGCTCTAGATTTGTTACTTGGGCTAACAGGTAGTCGTTCAGATTTGGAATTTTGATCATTTACCTGCAGAGTTCTGTCAGTTAAATAATTTTGAACTAATTTCATAATATAGAGTGGAAAATTAAACTTTCTCAATTTAACAATCAAACCTTCATGCCAAACACTGTAGAATGCTTTTTCTATGTCTAGAAGAGCAACTCCAGTTGAGTGGCCTTCAGATTTGTTTGAACGAATTAAATTGGTAACTCTTAAGAGTTGATGAGTAGTTGAATGCCCATGGCGAAATCCAAACTGCTCATCTGCAAAAAAATGAGTTCGTATTGATGTGAAGCATCATTCTATTTAAAATTATCTTTTCAAAAAGTTTTTTTTTTTTTTTTTTTTTACTTTATTATAGAGATTTTTAGCCATAGGCTAGTTCATCTCTTATTTTCAAAAAGTTTA